ATATACGAGGTGTTGTGTGTTGTGTTTGTGCCCCCCCCCCCCCCCATTGCCTAGAATTTCAATGTCGTTAATGCTTAATGTAATTTCATCGATATCTGTTAATGTTTGGAAAAACATGTTTTCATGTATAATGTGAATTATTTATGTACCAAACACCCCCCACTCCCCCCTGGCGGCCTTCTGTGGCCTCAAACATTACCACAGTATATGGTAGTGATGTCGGGGCGGTGGAAGGAACTTAAAAACACAATAGGGGACCAGGCATCTGTCACACCCTAAGGTGTCCTATGCAGAAGTTTTTTCAGGCAGCTGTTGAAGATAGAAAATGGTAGAAAAGGGTGCAGGACAGGTATGAATGAAAAGACTTATTTTCCATGCAGCATTTCACTATAGCACACTGGTGACAGGGTCACTTTAGTTGGCCGATTGCATGTATAGGCTTTGCAGTGCTTCACGATTGTTGGGCTTTACAGCTCCTTCTCACTATGCAAGTCTATAAGTCAGTTGACTGACAACTATGCATTAACTGAGTTGATGATACATTTGAACACTGCAATAATAACAACATATGGACTGATAGGGAGGACAGTATGCTTTGCCTATAAGTGTAAGTTTTCACTTAATCATTTGCAGCATCAGAAATGCAAAACTAAAGAGAGAGCCCTTGGTAAAAAGAGAAGTGATGGATACTGTCATAGCAATGTAAAGTGAGGAAATGAGTCACTACATTCATGACAGACATGACATGAAATATGCTTTGCTCCCCTTTGCCAGTCTAAGAGAATTTCATATCCATGTAGGCGGGACCAGAGTAGGCACAGAAGGCACATGCCCTTGATCAGCAGAGCCAGCTTTTCCTAGACGAGTTGTAGTTAGAATTGTTTGCCATCATCAGTAGATCTACAGTCATCTCTTATAACCATGTGTGCACATTGTCACAATGGTGACAAAATATTCTTAGACCGTATTTCAAAGAAGATTAGGACCAGGCAAATAAGAAAATGTTCTTAAAATGCAAATATGGCCCTAAATGTGGGTGTAGGTAGATACATAGGGCAGTGCTGGGACAAGGTCCTTTAAAACGCAAGACAAAAAGGCCAAAGTGCCTCCATCAACCTCCATGAACTGTGAACTACTTCAGTAGCAGAGGTTGCAGGTCCTGCCCTTTTAGAACCTTCCTCCTGCAGATTCACCTTAGGGGGATCTGCAGGAGGAGGGGCCTACCCCTGAGCTCTGCCCTGATATAAAAGTAACCTTTTATTTTTTGCTTAAATATCCTTATGTTCATTAGAAATTCTGAGATACAAGGATTGCATAGATAAATTCTTTAATAAAAAGCTGGGCAGCCCAAAGCAACCACTTAAATTTCAGTTTTCAACGCTTTCACTGGTCATGCCAATACATGCTGACTTTTGATTGGTTGGTGCACGCCACTGCCTCTTCCCTATTAATAAATGAAACCCAGAGAGTTCTGGATTTTCTCTTTATTGTAATATTGCCTGCTTTTCCGGATTGTTTAAAGCAAGCTTAAAAATGAATGGCGGGGGGCAAGCTAATCTGCGGACATATAAATAATCTCAAGTCAGACACATTAATGAGACGATTGTCTTTGGCTAACACTCTGTATCATTCATTAAGCTGTACAATGACACCATAAAATTCTGAACTCGTACTTGGCACAATGGTCGGTCTTGTAACTCAGCCAACCGCTAGCTAAATGGCTTCTCACTGCTTTTGTGATGGTTTGCTTTAGAACGGTGCAAGGCAAATGTTTGGCCACAGTGAACGAGGTCTTTGGAAAAAGCAACAGCTCACAGCTGTACCATCTCCAATAAAGGTATTGAAAGGGAAATAGGGCACTAAAAAAGACGCAGTATTCTGGTAAAGGTTCAATATAATGTTTGCTTTAGTTGCTATTAGCTTATACCCCGCAACCTAAGATTATACCCATCAGATATACACTGAGGACTTTGGGGTAGAAATAAAATAACTTGACACAAGTGGGGCAGGCTGTATGTGCAGTAAGGATTCCTGACTCCTCAGCTGCCTCTCATATATACAAGTAGATGTAGGGCTGAGTGTATTCTTCCTGCTTCCCAAGGACAATTGACTTGTGCCAGTTGGTCATCATCTATGTGCCACAATCTATGCACCAATAACTGGTCAACCTTGGCTTTACACTGACAAGACCAGATGCAATAGCTACACAAGCTGCATCGAGGTTGGGTTAGAGAGGCTGCTATAAAGAAAATTATTGGTAAATGGGTTTCTATGATTGAGAGTTTGTCCACTCTGCTGCCTGAGGTGTTTGTGTGACCATATACAGAACTCATCTTAGCCAAGAGCTACTTTAGTATAATTATACAGAATAGTGAAATCTGGCTTGGAGAGTCAAACTATTCTATATATTGTACATTACAAATAAGCATTCTATGCACTAGGGATACACCGATACCTGTTTTTCGGTATCGAGTACCAATATTTTTTTTCCCCAGTACTCGCCGATACCGAATACCAATACCGGAAGTCCCATTGATGAAGCCGGGTGGCATGTAATGACTCGCCGCCCGGCTTCCCTATTAGCCGGGAAGACGTCTCCATGCTCCCCATCAGGAAGCCGTGGGGTGGGTAATGACTCGCTGCTTGGCTTCCTGATTAGCCAGCTTCCCGTCCAATCAGGAAGCCGGGGGGGGCGGCATAAAGCACCACAAATTACTACCACCAGTCTTGGAAAGTTGTGTTAATTAAGGGTAGATATGGTGTCTGTAAGGCTATTTCATTGGTGTTGGCCATAACGTGCCCTCCTCCCCTATATGAATGCAGCTTGTTCCTCTTTCTAAGCTCAGTGGGGGGTTTTTCTCTCAATTCTCATCACATCCCCATATGTGTTCTGTAAGTAAATCACAGCTTTGCAGAAAACCATGTTTAATTCATTCCTATTTGTAATCATTTTAAGCAGAACAAATTATGCTCTTTTCTTTAGCACAGGGGCTTTGCTATATTAAATATTTCATAGAGCCAACACAATCTCCTTTTCAGAATTTATTAAGACTGACATCTCTCGAGTCCCATTATACAAACCACACGGAAAAACAGGCTCGATATTATACCCTTTGGGCATCGGAATGTATGAAACATGCTGAAACTCCCAGGGAAAATCGAATCTACAGTCTTTATCGTCTGTTTTACTGCTATCAGAATGAGTTATTTGTGTACAGTATCATTGCTACGTATGTCTGGCAGTTGGTTGCATACTCGAGTGTAGATATAAATCTGTGACTAGAAGGATTTATAATGACTTATATTTATTCCAGCTCTCACAGCAGCAGCAGGAAGAGGGAAGTTGGAAGTCTGCGAACTACTGCTGGACCATGGAGCCATCTTGTCACGCCTTAATAGACGTGGGATATCTCCCCTCTTCTGTGCAGTGCGCCAAGGGCACTGGCAGGTATGTAGTGTCCAGTCTTACCCTTTTTGCGTAGAAAAACATGGGTACTAATCAAGTTACGTATACACAAGACAAAGTTGTTGCAGGACAAAATTTAGGCACACCCATGCCATGATCTCTCCATGTATGTTGTACTATTAGCTCTGGTCCTCCATACCCCTAATTAGTTTGGTTGCCCTCCGCTGGACTTTTTCCAACTCAAGGACATCTTTTCTGGTCACCAGTACTAAGAAAAGATGTCCTTGAGTTGGGAAAAGTCCAGCGGAGGGCAACCAAACTAATTAGGGGTATGGAGGACCAGAGCTACAAGACGAGGCTACTAAATTTAAACATGTTCACATTAGAGGTGAGGAGATTAAGGGGGGGATATGATCTCCATGTACAAAATGTTCAATGGTGGTAGCAACATTAGCGATAAACTGTTTAAAATTAACTCCATTACAAAAAGGCCACCACCTAAAATTGGTGGAAAAAAAATTCCAGCACAAGGGGCGAAGGGGGTTCTTCACAGTAAGATCAGTTAGGGTCTGGAACTCACTGCCACAGGCGGTGATTTCAGCAAATAATGTGGAATTGTTCAAGAAACTTTTGGATGATTTCTTAAGGGGCCGCAATATACAGGGGTACAGGTACTCCTAGAATAAGATCCTAATAGGTTGGACTTGATGGACTAATGTCTTTATTCAACCTCAAATACTATGTAACTATTCAATGGCTCGCTCCATGTGTTGGATAATAGTGGCATCAGCAGAACACAGAAGATTGTCCTCTCTCTCTTTTTGGGAGACTCGATACATTTTCCTCCTCTATTCTTTCTAATAGGGATAACCCAGCTCTTCCCATAACATGGCTTATATGCTGTCACAATGACCTAAATATAATAAGCTGGGATGTTATGGCTCAGTGACCCCAGAACATTAAGTATTTAGGGCCACAACTAGGTTGTACTGGGAATATTTCACCTAAAGAGTAACTGAACTCTGGAAGCAGGCAAAGGACATATCACCAGTGTTGCCTGTGGTCTCCCTGCAGCTGATTTTTCCCCATTACTGACTTACCATGTCTTGTTCTGTACTGTGTGTCTGTATAGAGGTGGCCATCTTGGTAAAGACAGGGCTTTGCTTCCTCATGTTAGAGCTTCCAGCAGGAGAACAGTGAGCAGCATAGTAGTGACATGACCAAATCTCCTGAGACTACCAGTTAGAGGCCGCAGTGCCTTAACTCTCACCCTGCAGATATACAGCTCTGAGGAAGTCTCCAGACACCTACACATACCAGTGGGAGCACTGCTATTTTTACTGAAAATATTGCAGACAAAAGGTACCAGTGGACTGCTTAGACACAACTAACATTTCTAAATATTCCCTGTAACGTTTCACTTTTTTGAGTTCGGGCCTATTTAATGTGTGGAAAGTGAGTGCCTGGAACACCTTTCGATAATGCAAACCAACCGAAAACCATATTGCACATGAAATGTAGCAAAATATCACTTTTCTCTTATGTAAAAAAGGGCCTCTCTGAGTAGAATTGAGAACTAGTACTGATGGGATAAATGGGAAAAAATCCCCCTTAAAGGGATACCTGTCATAAGAAATTTGCCATTGCTGACCTCCTTCTGAAAATTGTAGTTGTCAATCCAATGGCAATAATACATTTTGAGTTTGTGGCCTGTATCTGGCCTATTCCACCTCAACCTAACCACTCAACCATCACACTCTCAAACAGTTCATCCCCACACAGCTATCTCCTCTTGTATCACTGGTCCCTCCCTCTTAGATTGTAAGCCTTCATGGGCAGGGTCCTCCTTACCAGGACGAGGTCAGCAATGGCCATGAGTAATTCCTTAATAATAGGAATATTTAACATTGTGTTTGTGTGGATGTGTTGCATATGTCTGGTGTTTTAATAATGTTTGATTATTGGTGTTTGTAGGCAAAAGACCACGAAAAATAGTAACAGTCAAATCCTGTTTGATGCTTTTTTCCCCCCCATTCCACACAATGTAACCTGCGTGTCTTATAAAGCTTATAAATAGAAGAAAAGTGAAGTCACAGTTTGCAAACAAGAGTGTCTTGTCACAGTGCTGGGGCTAATGTATTCCAGTTCCCTGAAAACGGGTGAAATAATATTAAGTAACGGAGAGCTGTGACAGTACTGGTTTTGTCCCTGGAAGACACCGCCATACAAATTCTAATGAGATAGTCTGCCGCTTTGTGTCTCTGTGGAGTTCCCCAGCTATTCCTTTTTATATTTCTGCTCTTCTAGTGGAGACGGCTATTCATGACACTTCATAGGACTCCAGGGACAATGCACAGTGCCACCACACAACGCCTACAGCTTCTATAGCTTGAGATGCTGACTTGGCCCCCGCCCAGCTCACAGTAACCATGAACAGCACTGTAGAGGACAGTGCGGTGCACAGAATGTACATGGATGGATAAAGATTGCTTATTTATGATTATTACTAGTAGCATGGATTCATTACACTCGAGTTACAGTCACTGTTTGTTTTATACCATGTTCGCTGTTTTGCAGATTGAGAAATCATTGACTTAGAGCACCCCTACTGGCTTTATGAGGCAGTGCACTCAATGGGTACAGCGTGTGTATTTTGAGTACAAGTTATCTTAATTAAATGTTTTACTTAAAAGAAGATATCAGAACAAAAATGGGAGGGTATGCTGGGACTAGGAAGAAGCTCAGCTGTGTGAGGAGGGCACAGGGAAAATTTCACATTTTAACAGTGTAAGGAATGCCAGGACAGGACTGACAGTGTAAGGACGGCACAGAGAAGAGTATGAAAGTGTGAAGAGGGAACAAAGGGAAGCATGGCAGTGTGAGGAGGGTATAGGGAGCAATATGGCAGCTTGAGAAGGGTACCGGGAACAGCATGGCACTGTGGGGAGAGCACAGGGAGGAGCATGACAGTGTGACGAAGGCACAGGGAGGTGCATGGCAGTGTGATGAGGGCACAGGGAGGAACATGGCAGTGTGATGAGGGCACAGGGAGTAGCATGGCAGTGTGAGCACAGGGAGTAGCATGGCAGTGTGAGCACAGGGAGTAGCATGGCAGTGTGAGCACAGGGAGTAGCATGGCAGTGTGAGCACAGGGAGTAGCATGGCA